GAGTGACTCGAGCATTGGTGTCCGCAAGCCTCAGGGCGGCCCAAATACCGGGCCTTCAAGCCGGGTGGAGCGTGTTGAATGCGCCGCTGCTTGCCGTGTCACCGGCTCGCCGGCGGCGCGCAGCGCGGCTGTCGTGTTTGCGAAATGGAAAGGCCGACGACGACGGCTGGTGCACGGTGCGCGCGCGGCCGGCGCGCGACTGTGCTGGCGCGGCGGCGCAGGACGGCGGCATGTCGCCAGCGCGTGGCCCGACCGTCGCCAGCGCCGCCGACAGCTGGCCGCCCCGTTAGAACCGGCGCCCGCCGCCGCCGTCGCCGCCGCCGCCCACTGGGTGGCCGCAGCCGTAGTTTAGCGATGTTTAAATATGCATCAGATATCCGCCGGCGGTGGGTTGCCAGTTTGGAGCGGTCGGTTGTCACATGTTTTAGATAATTTATGGGGAGGGCGGCGGTTCGGAATTGACCTGTTTCTCAAAACAATGCCTTAAAGTGGAGCTAGGCACCTGATGCTTTAACCGACACGTGCTCCATCAATGGACGGCCCCGGCAGCCAGGAAGAGTAAGACCGCATTACAAACATTATAATTATCGTTCGGCGGTTAATAGACCAAACAACGCATCGATCTCGCAGCAACTCCGATGCAGCGTGCGCGCGCCAGCGTGCCGTTATCCCGGTCAGCCCGACTTGGGTCCGTATCGGAACAATAAGAGCATGTCCTATGCGTCCAAAGATTCGCCACCCTGTGCGCGGTTCATCAACGGGACAGGGAGCTGGCAGAGTCGTGGGTTACGGGCGGGATTAAGATGATGACCATAACGGTGAAACCTATCCGAAATCCTGCCTGATCACTAAAGAGCGACAGCGCGTTAATCCATGTGTTGCACATCACGGACATTTGCGACTAAGGGCCGCCAGATCCTGATATTCGGATGGGTCGCTATCACCTGACAGGCCCGACTGGTCGGAACAGGGCTCGTGCGCACCGCTGTCGAAAGGTCTGCCATGCTCATCTGCGCAGGCGATACATCTGCACAGCTCCTAAGCCCTCTCACCGTGAACGCTCCGGTGACTCCACTTTCAACAGATCAAGGCAGAGGCGCAACACACAGTTGAGCTGCATAGATATTCGTGCAGCTTGCGTGACTGCCCGCCCGTCGAAAATATTAGCAGACGGTGGTGGGACACCGCTGGTTACGTCGAACTATGCGATCAGCTTTGCAAATCAACTGGAACTGAGGCAACGCTGCGGACCTGACAAAGAGCGGCCCTGTGGGCCAACGAAGACAATAAACAGCTGTTGCAAACTGGCTTGGCGACTGACCCAATTAGCCTGCCACGCGCTTGGCTTTCCCTGCTAACAAATGACAGACGAACCGACAGCTTGAGGAAAGGAGTGGCTGTGCGCAGGCTGCACTTTGATAGCTATGCGCAACACGCAGGCTGCTGTCAATTACGAATTCTCAACATCGCATACAAGGAGAAGCTTTTCCCGTAAAAGCCAAAGAACGCAGTTTTCTTCAGTGCAACGCACGGGAGCAGAACCCCTCACATTGGCTAATGATCGCCACGAGGCAGAAAGGGCCAGAACCTGGTTTGTATTTCAAGGTTTTCCAGAGAAGGCCACTGAAGCCGTCTGGTCGCAGCGCCAAATTGGTAGCGCGGCAGTGTCTCACCTGTTCGTGAACCGTGCCGCCCGACACCGTACTCAGTCTGCCCACTCACCACGACCTCAGCAAACAGCAATCGCTGCCGGCCGACGGGCATGCGCCGCTTGCAAAACGTCGCAAGCCTCCAGACCGTGAGCCGGGGCGCGTCACGTGACCGGCCCGCGCCGACAATGGCAGGCGGGGCTGACCCCCGCCGGCCCGTCACGGTGGAGCCGGACCCTCACGGTCCACCCGAGCCGCGCGCCCGCCCGCCCGCCCGCCCGCCCTCGGGAGCCGGCGAAAGGGCGCGCGCGCTCCGGCTGTCGCACGCGCCTCATCTGTCACGTGTGCGTCAGTCTGGCCGGCCTCGCTTCGTCATGGCGCGCCGGGCGCGCCGCGCGCGGCGAGGCGTAACATGGCGCTGCGTGGCACAACAGAACGTCACCTGCGAAACGAGCTGACGTCACCGCCGGCCGCAATGCGTGTGTTTGTGGAAATGGCTCCATCGCCGCGGCAGCTCTCGGTGTGTAGCTGACGGTACATTTGAGAATGGATGCGAAAGTCACGCTGGCGCGGAACATCGCCGCCCGCATCTCAGCGCCCCTGCGTATTCAACGCGGCTTTGAGCCGACCAGGCTGCGACCTGCGACCGACCTGATGCGACCTGCGACCGACCTGGTGCGACCTGCGATCGATCTAAATACTGCGACCTGTCCTGACGCCTCGGTCACACCGGCAGTGGCAGCTGGCGCCGAACGACGCCGGCCGTCCGCGATACCGCCGCCCCCCTGCAGCAGTGGCCACCGTGGCGCGGACGCGGGATGTCCGTCACTCATTGGCATCGGACATCATCCGCCTGCCCCCGCAGCTTATCACCGAGATCGCCCCGAGACCGCAACCCACACTGAAGGGCGGCTCTGCTGTAACAGCTCGCTGTGATCGTGCCGCAGGTATTACGAACTGTGTCCAGGCGGTATTTCTATTTCGGAACGAAGCTGAGAGGAACACCTGGTGTAAGCAGATTACACGTCGGACTTTCCGTGATAAGCAATGGCGGGACTCATACGCTAGCCGGAGCCCTAGACAACGGATGAATTTGCCAATGACGACATCGCGTAGCAATGCCTCGCAAACCAAAAATATTGAACCTGCATTTCCATAGATCCGGACTTTGCGAACGTATCCCGGTTGTAATGCTGGCACTCTCAGAAGGATTAGACTGATCTCGTGGCCCTGGCCCTGATCCCGCCAACCTGCAGCTCCCACATACGCGGAATTTAAGTCCACTAGCGATGGACCAGGTGTGCCGTAGACCTGCCAGAGGCTTCAAAAGCCACAACTACGCCGAGATCCTGGTGACCTGACACGCTCTAGTTCCACGACAGCTGGCTAAAGCGCAGGAGCTGTGGTGCTTGCCAAGCCTAACGCAGCAGTCAAATGATCCCAGCGGCGCTCCAGATATGGCAGCTTTCGCGTCCTTGGTACCAATATTTCCAGTGACATTCTCCAACGCGCGGCGAAAATGACCAGGTCTTTGGAGCCAGCTGCAATTGGCGTTTTTGGCGCGGAATAAACTTAGGCTCAATTCTTCAAGCAGTCTTGCCTGGTTCCAGGATATTTGTTAATGGCATGTATCTGAAGTCTTGCCATAGGTTCTCCCATTGGAGTAAGAGCACTAATGACTCGAGACTTGGCATTAGTCCACATAGAGTCTAGCTGTGTCTCCGCTACCGGAATCCGCGCTGGATCCAGCACGTCGCCGCCTATCACTTGACCGTCTCAAGGCTCCTGTCTCACGAGCTCCCGTCTTCCGTCCCCCGTCTCCCATCTTCCTTCTTCCGTCTTTCGTCTGTCGTCTCTCGTCTTCCGTCTTACGCCTCTCTCTGGCTCTGACCCTCGCTCGCTCCCGTTTCGCTCTCGCTCTCCTGTTCTTGGCTCTCGCTCTCGCTCCCTTCTCCCGTCTTCCATAACCCATCTCCCATCTCACATCTCACAGCCTATCTTTTGGCTCGGTGCAGAAGGCGGAACCCGATTACGAACTCAATTACGCCACAAAGCATTGCGGGGTCTTCAGATAACAGAAGAGCGACCACATGAAGCGCGTCGGCCGCGACATGGCGGCTTTGCACAGCCGAAAAAGGCACGGAATATGGACTGCACTCGTCATGGTGGCCTTAAACCCCTAATCTGAATCTAGTAACAACTGGTAACTGGAATCTGGTGACAACCAGCTGAAGCTATGGCAGTCCCTCCACTTTTTCCCGCTCTGATTTTTTACTGGGATTGTCCTAGGACTTTCCACGTTCGCTGGCATTTGCATGAGACCTGCAATAACGATGGTTATTGTTTGTGACAGCCAGTCGTTGATCTATGGACTGTTGAACGGAGCGTTCGATTACGCAATCTGCATCCTCCATTTTTGACGTAATGAGCGCCGCACTACATAAGTCCATTGCAAAAAAGAATCCAATAGGCCTGGACCAGCCCTGCTTTCAGCGGCTAGCTTTATCTCCAGTAGCAGTGATGACGTCGGAACGAAAGCACGGCAGGTTTCATAACCTTTTCAGTCGCCGTTCCAGCGCGGCGAATGCCTCGCAGAGGAAAGCGGTTTTCGAGTTGATCACATTTTATATCGTGTTTGGTAGACGCACGCCGTGGGATACTCTAGAGATCAGTGGTGGCCTGGCGCTGGGATCTACAACAGGTGGTCTGTGATCTGTGATTTGTGGTCTGTGGTATGTGGCGTGTGGTTTGCAAGCATGAGTTCCGCCCGGGCTCGCAGGCACTACCTTGAGTGCACTGGCCGACCGACGAGCAGGAGGTGGGTCCTCAAACACCCACAGAGCACTCTTGCAGGCTCCTGGCTTCCAGCAGCATCTGCCCCACGCGCAGTGGCGACGGGCCGGAGAAGCTGGCAGCGGGGACGCTGCGGTCGCAATGACTGTCTGTCTCGGTCCGAGACCAGGCCGAGAGTGGGGACCAGGTCCTGGTCTCTGCCAAGACACGGTCCGCCAGCGGGGCTTGGGCATGGTCCGCAGCGGGGCGCGAAGCATGGTCCGCTAGTAGGAGCTTGAACCTGACATCCGCCGAGGCGTGGTCCGCTAGCGGGGATCTGAACCTGACATCCACCGACGCGTGGTCCGTCGTGACTTGCGGGACGCTGTCTCGGCTGACCCCGGTGGACGCGCAATCGGAGCACAACCCCCGGCGCACAACCCCCGGCGCACAACCCCCGGCGCACAACCTCCGGCGCACAACCCCCGTGGCGCAGAGACGTCTCTGGGCGGCGTTCGAACCCGCCAAGTCTAGGAAGCTGTAGAGCCGCGGAGCCCGAACAGGCGAGCCGGTACTCACCAGTATGTCGGGGGGCGGCTTGGTCAGCGCCGGCAGCACGTAGACGGTCTCTGCCGGGAAGTCTCCGCGGCCGCCGTCGCGCTGGCACGTGCCCACGCACCAGCCCGAGTTCATCACCGTCTCGCCGGTGCTGTCGTCCTCCAAGTGGATCAGGTCGCCCTTGCGGAAGTTCAAGAAGCTGCTGCCCTCACCTGCGGGGAGCACACGGTCGAGGTCAGGGCCATCGGTAGCAGAGGAACGGAACGACTACCAGTGGCTAATACAAAATACCGGCAGAAAGTCCTACGTGGTTGGCTGTAATACAACACAAATCACGTGTTACTGGATTGATGTCCGGTTTTCTTCACGACAAATATAACTGCTGCGGTCAGCTGTCTTGTGTCGCAATGTATGGCGTCGAATACAGCCGGGAAATTAAGGCACCAGTGAGCATTTTTCAGTCACGTTATATGCCGCTACAGTGAATCGCATACACCACAACACAATGTTATATGTACTTTTACTCTTTTCACGTCCCGATGCAATCAAGCAGTGCAATCGACCGACGCATGCAAGGGTATTTAAACATGTTTTCCGCCACGATGCTACGCAGAGAAGCCCCCTGGTCAGTGAATTTTTGCGCTGTAAACCAACCTTATTTGGAGTGTCTTATGCAGAGGCGCAAAATTTCTCACCTTCCCCAGCTCCGTTCATGCTCACTCCCTGCGCGCACTATGTCCCATCGAACGCGTTGTTCCCTTCCTGCGCGCACTGCGTCTCACTAGGGGCCTTGTTCCCTCACCGCGCGCGCCGCGTCTCACCGGGCGCCTTGTCCCTTCCCCTGCGCGCGCTGCGTCTCACCGGGCACCTTGTTCCCTCCCTGCGCGCGCTGCGTCTCACCGGGCGCCTTGTTCCCTCCCTGCGCGCGCTGCATCTCACCGGGCACCTTGTTCCCTCCCCTGCACGCGCTGCGTCTCACCGGGGGCCCTGTTCCCTCCCCTGAGCGCGCTGCATCTCACTGGGCACCTTGTTCCCTCCCTGCACGCGCTACGTCTCACCGGGGGCCCTGTTCCCTCCCCTGAGCGCGCTGCGTCTCACCGGGCACCTTGTTCCCTCCCTGAGCGCGCTGCATCTCACCGGGCGCCTTGTAGTCCTGCAGAGCGATGACGTATCGTGAGCGCTTCTTCAGGCCCTCCAGGAAGTAGACCACCAGGTCCCTGATGTCCTCCGAATTGGGGCTGGTGAAGGTGAATTCCTCGCCGCGCACGGTCGCCAGCGTGAACGTCTGCTGCTGGGTCTTGTTCGTCCTGCGCGGTCAGAGCTGGAGGTCAGCCCAGTCGGGCATTGTTGCCAGCTCGCCGGAAAATCGTCATGCGCGCCGCTCATTTTAAATGGGTCTTTGTAGGCCAAGGAAAGCAAACCATTCATAAAACCGGTAGTCACATCAGGTTATGAAAGGATCGTAGCATAGAACAAGTAAGAGCACTCTCGTAATGCTTCAGTGAACTTGGTCAAGTCGCCTCCAAAGACGCACATACCAGAGACACCTAAATGAATAAATCGTGTGTTATAAAGCTTGACATGCGGTGTCAGCTCCAACGATATCCAAGCGGTAAATAGGCTTACCCCCTCCCCCTTAAGCTTCAGAAAGTGCTGCTTCCAGTAGTGGCCACTTACTTCTGACTGGAGACCTGGGTAATCTCGGGGAAGCTGAGCTCCAGCAGCACCTGTTCCTGGTCGTCCACCACGTACACACCCGTCCAGTTGACGGCGATGATGACGTCGTTCTTGGGTAGGTTCGGGCCTGTACAGAGTGGGCGATACGCGTGTTAGTGCAGTGAACTCAAAGATGAGGGTGTCGGATTGATGCGGTAAATAAGAGCAAGGGAAACGAAGACATACTGATGAACGCTCCGAAACGTGACAAGCATTGTTGTAGTGGATTCCACCTACCTGAGTATTTGAAGGCTTCGTAGAACCTAGAGAAGAGCAGCGGCCACTTGAGCTTGGCATAGCTGACCACGTCCTCCTTCACCTTCAGGGCAGGAGCTCTCTCCTTCATGTAGTAGCTCTGAAAACGGCCACGTTGTCGTACTCAAACAAAGAGTAGTTACTTCACTTACGCGCTATAAACAGCAAACCGTTTAGGAGGCTAAGGGTTGCGGTAAATCGTGTCAGGAAGCAAGCAAATCACCTCAGAAAACGATTCGCGGGAATGAAGACTCGTTACATTGGCCTCGTAACGGAAAATGCTTAGGCGGTGAAGCTGGTCTTCGAAGAGAAGGGCTGACTTTGCATGGACTCACTAATACAAACTCATTATCTGGAAGCAAGCTGCTACAGTTAAGATCCGAAACTCAAGCTTCTGATCTCCGTCGGGCAACGAGAGCTACTCACACCTCCATTTATTATCTAGCCCATCCACAGCTGCGGCTGTTCTGTTAACCCGCGCCCCACATGTACGGCGTCTTTGTGCCGCGGCAAGCACCTTTTTGAAAGCCTGAAGGACAAGCTGCGCCCACTTCTCGACGGTGTTGTCGATGCTGTTGAGGCAGTAGTCGGGGATGTAGTTGGGCAGCAGGCCGACCAGCCGCTCCTGGTTCATGTCCGAGCTGAACTCGATGTAGTACTGCTGTGCCGCGATCATCGCCAGGTCCTCCTCCTGAGCAATGGCCGATCGGAGGTCACAATCACGCCAGACGGGCGCACGCGCCACTAAAGACGGTCCAGACGCGCAGCTCGCACACGTGGGCACGGTTATCCATGACGCCTAGCAAATGGTGATAGTTGGTTGAAAAGGAAGGCTGGGTTGCCCTCAATAGGCATAGTTACAGCGGTTTGTTGCACACGAATCATGAACTAGTTGCTCTATTGTTCGGCCACCACAAGCGCCGCCTCATTCCTATAGCGACGTGGTACGAACGACCTTGTACAGCCCGTCGTTACTCGTTTTTAGCATTTTTATAGCCAGAAACGCCGGCATGAGTCCTGCGCCGCACGCCGTGTTTATTGATCAAACACCCGCAAGACGTCGATGGGGCCTGGCCACTGTCGTACCTTGTCGCAGCGGTACTCCCCGAACTTGACCCCGCGCACCACCTGCTGGTAGATCAGGTTCGTCGCCACGTTGTCCTCGACGGGGTCGTGCCACGGCGCGAAGATCTCCTTCCTGGAGCACGGCTTGTCGTGAGGGACACGGCTCAGCGAACGAATACAATACAGGCGCGTGCGCACTGACTGAATCAGTCGTTCAGGCAGCTGCCTGCTTCGCATTGGGCCGGGCAGTCATGGGACCGTGAAACAAAAGCAGGTACGCTGCATTATGTGCAACTGGGAATGCGCAATTAAGATCAATGAGCTCTTTTACGGTGGACCCAAATCAGTGCGAAGCAAAATCTCGCGTAAAAACACGGCTTGGAATGTTTTACTAGATGTTCTATGTTGCGACAGTAGACGCCAAAACGCTGGCCTCGTCGGAGGAGCGTCAGGGCACGCACCTGAAGAAGAGCCGCCAGGGGGCGTTCCTCTCCTGAGCTCCTTGCTCCTTGGCGTACTGCTCACACTGGGAGATGGCGTCCATCACGTGATCACCGCCCGACCCCAGCGACGACACCTGGCGGCAGCAGTCCCTGGTTACGTGTCGAGCTACCATCGTAAACACGCTTAAAAGTAGCGTACGAAGTTAAAAATACGAAAACAGATTCCGTCCACGCATTAGAGAACCGACGTAGAGTATCCGGCGCACTGTCGTCTCTCTCCCCACCTGACATTTTTTAATGGGTACAATGGGGCGTTTCACTCGTCAGTTTTGGCGGTCTCGACGGCGGTTACGGGCCCGGCGAGCTGCGTCCGTGGCCGTGGACACCACGCAAGCCCCACCTTGTCGAAGAGGGCGATGTAGAGCGAGAAGCCGAACTGGTCCTTGAGCCCGATCTTGTCGCTCAGCTGGTTGCAGAGCTCGCGAGCCGTGGTCGCCGAGTCGGCCAGCAGCGTCTTGGTGTTGCCGTCCATGAAGGTGATCGGCAGCATCAGCGGCTTTTTGTTCTTGGTCGCCTGCAGAGGCGCATGGCACGGATCAATATGGGCCGCACACGTGACCCGACGCGCTGCGGATTCATGTCCCTCTCCAGCAGGGCAGACACACGCAAGTCTCAGCCGACCATGCGACGATTTGGTGGTGGTTACCTGATGCAAAGCACATGGAATGAACGGAACACAAGTGATTTCCCATTTATGTCAATACGACCAGTGGGAGAATGGAATGCCAATGCGCAGCATTGCGGCATTCGCGCAACCCCGATAGCCGATTTATGGCACTGAAATTCTGGTGTGCATTAACATGCTAGTGCAGCTAGCCTGGTTGGGTCGCACACGGTGCCTTGCTAGCATCTCTCCCAGCACATCAACAGTCAGAAATGAAATGAAATTGAAAACAAGAAGTCAGGAAGCCTTTGCTGCTGTCATAGCAGTACAACATAACATACACCTCAGTTACAGCTACGTGTGACTAAGGTTATCACATAACATCGTCTATACATGTGACTGAACTAGCAAAACTCTCCAGTAGCTGCGTATGTGACCGGCTGTTGCCACGTAACCTGACCACACCCTCCAGGGCGTCCGCCTCCGGCTCTAGCCAGCAGAAGAGGCCGCCCTGATGCAACGCAGTGATCTGATCATGCCTCCCCTCCGCCTCCGCGAAGTGGACTCGCCTGCAGCTCCAGCCAGCTGGGCGGCTGGTTGCGCGTGCCGTTGGTGAAGGTGCGCCGCAGCCGCTCGTCGCAGTAGGGCGCGTAGCCGGGCGGCCCCTCGCGGATGAAGCAGCGCAGGTACTTGACGAAGTTCTCGGAGGGCGCGAAGCAGCCCACGCACAGCGAGAGCAGGATCCAGCCGCGCGCGTGCGACGACTTGGACGGGTTGTTGGTCAGCTGCTTGCAGATCTGACAGTAGATCTCGTCCCTGCGCCCAGCGCCGGCGGCGGTCATCGGACGTGTTCACAGCGTCGGGAAGTCAGCAATGGCGTAAGGAGCTGTTGCAATGAAGCGTGTAAAACGACCTTACGGCGCTGATGCCAGCTCGGCCAGTGACGTGTGATGCGAACATGGATACCAGGTCCCACAGAACAGCAGACAGGACGAGCTTCTGTCGCTATCAGACTCTAGATACAAGTACTGTGGACAGGCTGGCGGGCTGGGAGCCTCCTCCCGGCAGGGAAGGTGGATGTGGAGGACTGTGGACAGGCCGGCGGACTAAGGGGCCTCCTCCCGGCAGAGACGGTGGATGTAGAGGACTGTGGATAGGTCGGCGAACCGAGGGGCCTTCTCCCGGAAGAGAGGGTGGATATAGAGGACTGTGGACAGGCCGGCGGACTAAGGGGCCTTCTCCCGGCAGAGAGGGTGGATATAGAGGACTGTGGACGGGCGGGCGGACTGAGGGGCCTCCTCCTGGCAGGAAGGGGTGGATGCAGAAGCAGAGAGCGGTGCGTCGGCACTGACCTCAGCTCGGCGCGCAAGATGCCGTGACCGATGATGAAGTGCAGCTTCTCCAAGTTGGAGGTGGGCCGCGACTCTAGCCACGAGGTGTAGCTCTCCGTGGTGTAGCTGTCCTCCTCCAGTTTGCGACGCACGTCCTCGCCCAGCTTGGTCTTCCGCTTCAGCGTCAGCGATACCAGCTTGTTGCGGATGGAGCGTGGCTTGGACTTGAGGTACTCCTGAGTGCCGAAGCAGGAGGTCAGACCACGTCTGTTAATTTGAGTCACAGCGATAAAAGTGAAGGCTTGCGGTAAATATTGAGATTACTCCAACTTACCTAGTTCATCTTCATGTAAACTGCAACAAAAACGTTTACAATTTTGTATTTTGCTTGTTGGGAAACTAATAACATAAGCATACCAAAACATACTGGTGCACGGATAAAAACCTTAAGCGGTAAAGAGACCACAAGAAGCATGTCATGTGCAGTGCATGATAGGCGACATTCATAAGACAGTGTACCGACAAAATGCCCAAGTGTAATCCTATCCGTACAGCCGACAAAAAAAAAACGATGATCTCTGTCATTCCGAGGTAGTGCAACAGAACAAAGCAGCACAGTCTGCACGCTACAAACAGGGAAAAACAAGAACACAAGCTGTGTCAACTCCTCTCCGCCAACCACGTGTCAGACAGCGACAGAGCGACGTGAAGAGCTGTGCGCCTCCGGACAAAGCCTGTGCCACCCTGTGCGTCTGTGAACCACGCAACATCCTCCAGCTCCACTGGGCGCGTTCTCCGTGCCCGCCGGCGTGCAGTGGCCCCGCCCCAGCCGCGCCCCTCGCCACCACCAGCAGGCAGCACCGCCTCGTGCCCCGCTCGCTGTAAACCCCGCCGCTGGTCAGGCTCTCACCCCGCCGGCGAAGCCCTCGGCCGCCGCCGCCAGCATCTCCTGAAACGCAGCCGGTTCGCGCGGGGGTCACTCTCCTCGGGGTCGCCGCTGAGGTCACACACCGCGCGACGCCGGCTGCGACACGGCGCCTGCGCAGCCCCGCCCGCTCGACAGTGAACCACCACTGGCTCAGAGGGCAGCGCCCCACGGCCAGTCCTCCCCCCCCCCCTCCCTCCCATCAGCGGCTGGATGACGACGTCACGCAGGCTGCCAGCCGCGACATCGGCACACTACACCGGTCTCGAGTGGCGTACTGCGCCAGCGCGCGACGCCGCCCGTCGGCCGAGAGCCCCGGTGGCGCCTCTCACCTGCTCCATGCCCATCATCTGCGCCTCCTGGAACTCCTTGGTCTTGACGAAGTTCCTGCCGAGCGTGGCCGTCACCTTGGACATGACGGACGTCGTGTCGCGGTCCATCGTGTGGTACTTGGGCTCGGGCATGTCGCCCATGAAGCGGAGGATCGTGATCCAGAGTGCCAGCCCCGCCTGTCCAGAGGTCAGGGGTCAGTCGGGGGTCACATCAGGTGCTGAAGGGTCGCGCCGGCCAGAGAGGACAGCTGCCAAGAGCCTGCAGTAGTCATACGTGACAGTGGTGGTACAGCTACCACAGTGACAGTGGCGAGGTAACACCGACGGCCGAGCATCTTGAAGGAACAGGCCCAGAGCACAAGCTTCTAACATACGAATCACGTCTCTCATCTCACGAGCACCCGCTGGTCGATAACGTTAGGCAGCTGATTTGATCCAAAGGAAATTCCATCCAAAACGCATGAAAGATGTCTGAATCTAAACGGCGCTCCGTCCTCGTCAACCTCAGGCGGCGCAGTGACGCACGCCGCTGCCACAGCAGCGGGCGTCACCGCGCGCCGCTGCGTCACTGCGTCCCTGACCGAGAGCCGGCCCCGCGCGGTCACGGTCCGCCGGCCCACCGGCCCGCGCGCAGTCTCACCAGCTGGTCACCCTGCGTCTGCAGCGGCAGCAGCGACTGCTTCAGCGCCTTGCGCGAGTACTGCGGGCCCACGTTGCCCTGGAAGAAGGTGGCGGCGAACTTGGCGAACTTGAATTCGCTCAGGTCCTCGACGTCCTCGGGCGCTTCTGGCAGTGCCGAGATGACCTCGCCGTTCGCTGGACCCTTGGGCAGCGTCGGGAAGCCCTGCAGAGCAGACCCGGTCAGAGGTGACATCACGGGAGAGGGGGGGGGGGGGGGGGGCAGATGGTGTCACACGAGTAACGCCATGGCACGGATAAACAGAGATTCCGGCAAAACCAAGGCAGAAACTTTTTGAGGGCCGTGATCATGGATAATGAAAATGGGCACTGCAGACTTGACGATAAATATGCTACACGATGCACACTATGGACAGCTTCTACAGATATCCAGGACGCTGTCCTAAAATCGTGGCTACCAGTGTGAAGAAGTGATCCGCGCAATGTTTGCAGAGGAGCCAACATTGTCCTATTTCGATGATTATAAGGAGACAGCTGAGCGGCGTTCTAGAAGTTTTTGTGTTTGTGCTTGTGTTTTTTAAAATAAATGTCTCTTATATTCCGAACCCCGATACCACCCCACAGCGAATGCATCAGGAAAATACACGTCCAACCAGAGTGCTTACCATCACAACCTTTTGCTGAGTAATTACCTTTACTGCCTCTTATGCTGGACCTAATAGCTGATTTTTGATGGAACGGAAAATGCTGCGGGTGAACGGCGGTTTGATGTGAAGATGATTTGAAGACTACCAAGCTACCTCAGAAGCCTAGGGCATATGGCCGGACATTCTGATCCAAGCAACGTCTAGTGACACGGACGGTGCCAGACAGCTGCGTCTGATTCAGGCGGTGCTCGCGAACGCAGCCCTGAATGCGCGGATGCGTCCGCTGCTGACTCCGGCAAGCACCGCGGCGCGCCTGCCACTGACCCCGAAGGCGTTGGGGGTGCGGTATCGCCGCCCTGACCCCGGCAGCACCGCGGCGCGCCTGCCACTGACCCCGAAGGCGTTGGAGGGCGCGGTCTCGCCGTTGCCGTCCTGCGGCAGGAACTCGAAGATGGCGTCCACCAGCTTGGAGTCGTCGATGGGCTCCAACTGGCGTCGCTCGGCCTCGCTGAGCGTGACGCGCACTGCGTCCCGGCCGCGCTGCTCCTCCAGCTCCTCCTCCTGCTCGCGCCGCTCCAGCTCCTGCAGCCGCTCCTGCAGCACGGCACGGACACCCCCGGTCACGGGCCGGACACGGCCAGGCGGTCACTCACGCGGGGCACGCCGGCCGCACACACGTGGTCAAGCGCGGGCCACTCTGCCTCGATCGCCTGGGCCATCCGTCAGAGCGACACACGCTGATCATCCGACAAATAGTTCGTAAGTATACCCGACGCGTCGAAATGTAAAAGTATGATAAAATTTCGGTGAAATCATGCATATACGGCCTGTCCTAAGGCCTCCGTGCTAGATGGAGTGTCGAGCAATGACAGAATCGTGACACGACTTACCCTGAAATTGCCCTCAGCCATCTCCCTGGCCCTCTTCTGGCCGACCTGGCGCCTCAGGGCGCTCTCCTCCTCATCCCTCAGGCGCATGGCCTCCAGTCGCGCTCGGTACTCCACCTGAGAACATGGTCGCCGTTAGAACGGCACGTGCATAATACGCCCAGGACGAACGCACCCAACGATGAAGCCCCAGGTTGGTTTCCCAGCCATGCGAACTCTTAAACAAGTGCGTCATACCGGACCAGCGCCAATGCTACGTAATGTGTCATAGTGACCAGCTTTACAGCAATCCTTCTGGTCGCGGAGATACGCTCGCACATTCCAGCCAACCGTCTCTCAGCACTGCTCCCGGCGCGCCGGCCGCACGCCGTCCAGCCGCGCCGGTGCCGTACGCTGTCGGCGGCGCTACACGAGGCCGCCGACCTCCGCCGAAGAATCACCGCCGGCCGCCTGAGGCCGGCTCTCACCAGGCGACACGGCTCGTAGAAGTCGCTCAGGTGCTCGCCGGCCACCACCGAGGAGCGGGAGCCGGCACATGACCAGAGCGAGCTCATTACCGGCGGCCGCGGCCGGGTCACAGGAGGCCGGGAGTCGGGTCACGGGGGACCGGGAGCCGGATCACGGAGGCCGGGAGTCGGGTCACGGAGGCCGGGAGCCGGGTCACGGAGGCCGGGAGCCGGGTCACGGAGGCCGGGAGCCGGGTCACGGAGACCGGGAGCCGGACACGGGAGGCCGGGAGCCGGGCATGGGAGTCTGGGAGCTGGGTCGCAGGAGGCCGCGAGTCGGTTCGCGGGAGGCCGGGAGCCGGGTCACGGAGGCCGGGAGCCGGACACGAGAGGCCGGCAGTTTGGCCCGGCGAGCCCAGCCGCCGTCGCGCTCGGCCGGTCTGACAAGCCACTGACGCCGCGTCAGGCCGCGCGCGCCGCACTGTCCGGTCTTCCGCGGAGACCACACCGCTGCAGGCAAGCCACGCCCACTCCAGGGAGGCCACGCCCGCTCGGGAGAACACGCCCACTCAACACACACTCTCGCCGCTCCACCAGCAACGGAGCGGCGCGCGCCGGCGGGGCGGGGCGTCCGGTGCCTCGTTCGTCAATCGCTCGTTCGCGGCTCGCCGCACGGCGTCCGCCTGGGGCGAACGCCGGCGTGTCGCTGCGGCGGCGGCCCGGGAACGCCGCCGGCAGCGCGTGTTGACAATGCGTGGCGCCGATGCGGCGGCATTGTGCACCGGTCTCGTGTCGGCCGGGACGTGCGTCGCCACTCTGTCACGCGCCGCTGAGTCGAGCGCCGCGCCGCGCTGAGCGAATCATGCCAAGGTCGGCTCGGCGCCGCTCCTGTCGGCGCTGAAAGGAGCGGCGGGCGGAAGGCTCGCTGAATCGACTGGTGGCGGTTGGTCGTTCCCGCCGCCGCTACCGGACGGAGCAGCGAAGGCGAGCGCGCCGGTCAGACCCACTGCCTCTTCGTGCAGTGCTGGTCCTGCTGCTGCTGCTCGCGCGGTGCGGCCGTTATACGGAGGTCTCCCTCACGAGCCCGTCGGTGTCAGCCCGCTGTTACAGACCCGCCGGTCTCAGACTCAAGCCCATGCGTCGGACACCAGCCGAGCCCGCCAGACCCGAGGGCCGGCGTCGACAACGGGAGACCCACCTTCATCTTCTTGTAGCGTCGCCTGGCGATCATGCCGCGCGCGTGCGCCTGGATGGTGGTGGTGGCCCAGATGCGACGGTTGAACTCCCGCCGCACCAGGTACCCCCGGCACCGCGCCTGCGGGCAGAGGAAGCGGCGCGTCAGGTGGCGGAGGTCACAGCAGAGGTCACGGCCACAGTCTGAGCTCCACAGGCGGGCAGGCAGCCAGACATCATCGCGAGCGCAGTCTGAGTCCGCCGCAGTCATAGCCGTGGTGATAGGCACGGTAGCAATATGACTCAGCTGCAGTAACACTCCTGAGTATGGTCAGCGTTGTAGCCGCTGCAGTCGCCGCGGCCGCCATTACAGGGATGTTCACAGTTCCGTCCACAGTCGTAACTGTGCCAGCAGTGGCATTGTCAATGCCCGAGCACAAATGCCTTCAGTGTCAGACGCGGTGGTCGTCAGTGCAGCTGCACACGCAGTTGCGATCCTGAGCTCAATCTTGGTAACTGCACCAGCCCGCCACAGTGTGTGTGGTTGTTGTGGAGGTCAGCTCAGTGTCGGGGGAGTAGGCACAGGAGCATGGCGTGCATCAACCTTTCCAGCATATTGAGATGAGTGACACATTACGCTTTAAATCGCGGTTTCACGGCGCACGTCGTGACCAAGCTCCTGTCAGGACAGTCAGTTACGGCCATCGATTCAGCGTCAGTCACGGCGGACGCTTGTTTTTTGCGACTTGGCACAGCGACTGGAAGGCCTTGACGTATCCAAAGATGACGCCAAAATGCGTTAAGATCTAATCAAATTAATTTAAATAAATTCATCACGACTGACTACAACAGTATCTGGAATACCTCGCGATCACACGTGAGACGCAGCGCCGCTTTACTCGACTCGCGTTCCAGAGTCCACGCTGGCCTCCGCGGCAAAGGTCACTGACCTAGCTTGGCCCTTAGACGGGCGACCGCCTGGTCGCACCCCGGCGGCCGGTCACGTGACGCGGTCGGGCCGACGTGGCCTCACCTGCAGCGACACCACGTGACTGCCCGGCGGCCGGTCACGTGACACGGCCGGGCCGACGTGACCTCACCTGCAGCGACACCACGTGACCGCGCAGGTGCTTGAAGCGGTGCGAGAGCACGCGCGAGCGGATGAGCGCCTGCAGCCGCATGTAGCCGACGCGCATGTGCTGGTAGGCGCGCTTCTGGGCGTGGCCGCGCCACACGCGCTGGATCGTCACCGCCGCAGAGCGCATGCGCAGGAACCTGGGCAGACGGAGAGGTTCAGACCGCGGCGGCTCGCGGCCCTTGGGGTTTGGATTAGATCGGCGACAGAGGTGGACCCACGAACGTGGGTGCCACGCACAGTCGCGCTGAGGGATCAACCGGCAAATTATAACACAGTGGACCGCCGTGCCTTCCTATTTACTAGCAGCTGGTGCAGAATGAGCTGCGGGGATCACTTCGGCGTTGCGGAAACAAGTCGCTTCGTTATTTTGTCGTTACAGTGCGCCCATCTGCGCGGAGCGAGTCCCGGCTGAGAACACGAGGCAGCCTCAATACTGACTCCACCAACAATGGCTGCCGCTGTCTCAGGACTGCGGTCTCACCTGCGCCGGTGGTACCAGGCCTTGATGGAGCGCTGCAGGATGAGGATCTTCTTGGTGAGCACGCGGTCGCGCTCCTGCTCCAGGAAGAGGTCCTGCGAGTCCTTCAGGAACACCTTGCTCTTGCCCAGCTGGTAGTCGGAGCGTCCCAGCACCTCCTGGCAGATCTTGGCCGTGGCCGCACGGCAGTCCACCTGCAGGACCAGGAAGGGAACGGTTAGCTGCTGAGGGGGGGGGGGGGGGCACAGGCGGACAAACGGTGTAGCCGGTCCCACTCACTGCCAGAGCACCTGGAATGTCTGGACGCCTAAAAATACAGACAACCATGACCTGTCAGCGCTTAAAAAACACTGCGCTTCCACATGGTTACTTGTTTGTTCACTGAGCCCAGAAATACACGAGGCAAGCTACTTCGAAACTGACAACGAATGCCTGGGGCTTGTTGAAACATGTGAATGTGGGCCACAACCACACGGAAGTTGCCGCGTCCTGACGTCGTAATGACGTCATGTGCATGATAGCGGTATGACGTCATGACTTCGTCACGCCGCTGGCGCGTCAGGAGGCGGCCGCCCGACGCACCTTGTGCGGCGGCGGGCAGCCGCTGATGAGGAAGCGGTAGCGCTCGACGAACTCCTGGAAGGTGTGCCGGATCGGGTATCCGGCCCGACGGATCCGGATCGTCTCCATCATGCCTGAGTAGCGCAGCTGGCGGCAGCACAGCTCCCGGTCGAAGATCTACCGGCGGAGAGGGGACGGGGGAAGGTAAGCGTGGTGGTCGTGTAGCACGGCGCTTCTTGGCGAAGAAGGGCGCTCTGGTGCATGGTACAGCTAGGAGACGTGCCACGCAGCACTGCAGTGCGAGACGGTGACGCGTGTTGATGCCTCGTCAATTTCCGTAGGCTACACAGCTGGAGTGAGGAAAAAGCCAATCCGGCGCGAAAAATAGCAAGAATAACGCAGCACAGCTGCGCGGCTTGCTCTGGCTGAGGCAAGCGTGTGACGCTGACGTACGTCAGTAAGCTGCCATCGTCACGTCCGTGGCCAGATTTGGCCCAAATTGGATCCGTTGCGGCGCTCGCGGGCTCCAGCCTGCGAGCGTCCGACCTGCCTAAGCCCACAAAGCTTGCTGTGACAGACATTCGCTTGACGCGGTGAGAAAAGCCGCGGCTCGCGTCGGGAAGTGTGTCGCTCGTGACTAACACTGCCTCGCAGTACCGAGTGACGGCACGACAGGGAACTAGGGCGGTAGTGGAACGGAGCGCCGGTGCCGGCCCGAGACGAGTCACTTAATGTACAGGTGACAGGCACATTCCCGCGCGTCCTGACCGAGCTTCATTTGTGGGCATATGACAAACTGTGTACCATCTGAGATGAACACAGTTCATGGCGTGACATGACATGAAACGACATAGCATGACATGTCATGACATGACATGAAATGACGCGACATGACGTGACATGACATGACACGGCAGCGCGGTCGGCATGAGCTCTAACTCACCCTCGCCCTCACAGCGCGCAGCAACAGCTGCCAGCGCCCCAATGCCCTCCGCACGCGAGAGCACGCACTCGGCGAGCACTCTCAAGCCGCCGCGCTGCGACACCGCACGAGCACATGGTCCGACACCAGCCCGAGCACCGAGCACCACCTGGTGATCTGGTCGACCGAACACTCCGCCGGCGCGTCTCCCCCAGTAGGGGGAGGGACGCTGTACAGACAGCGCGCGCACAGGTGTGAGGCCACAGTAAGTGGAACAGCGAGGAGGACGGCAGGTGTGTCGTCGCGCCGGCGTGGAATGACTGCGGAGAAAGGTGGCAAAACCGCACCTGTGGTTGACCGCGAAGTGATGTCATACGGTGAAGACGTGAATATCAGCAGCTGCGGCAGGGTGAACCCTCACGATGGTGAGATGATCCAGCAAGTGTTTGTTAGAGGATTCGTCACGTGTTTGTTACACGGTCTGATGTCCCAGAGGTTCTCTACCTTACTTGTTGAAGAACTGTGCGTAAGGCATGCATCATTGAGCCCAGACTAGAAGTCAGGAAGCTCCTTGGAATATATATCTTGCAGATTCCGGATCTGGCGCCTAGGGCCAGATCCGGTAACCGTAGGACCTGATAACCGTTTTTGACTTGGCACGTAATTCCTGCCGAACCACTATCAACTTTCAGCGGCAAACTCTCGCCGTCGAGCGCTTTGACCCAAGTGAAATGGTAAATATCGGTCGTGGACTGTTGTTTCTAAACACGCCTCCCTATAACGGGAGCGAGACTGACTCACGCATTAAAAGGTCCGAAGCACGATACTAAAAAAAAGACTTCGTGCCAGACAAAACTGGCAGTCAGCAC